TAACAGAACCTCGATAGAGCGGACAATGAGCGGTACTCGAACAATAACCTCCTCCGATCAGACACCACCCCCGAAAGCTCCAAAAACAGTGCAAGTGGGACCTCAGTGGGGTCCCCGTACTTATAACCCACCATGCAAAGGAACAAATGGCGGAGATGCACTAGCAACGAATCGACGGCTGGCGACGCATGCGAACAACTTTGAATTCAAAATTTGTGTGCCTACAGGGTGCGCTCCTTTTTGAATTTGAAATCAGCACGCCCGTAGTGTGTGCCTCTTTTTCAAATTTCACTATGTGCGCCTCCTTTTCAAATTTCAAATTTGAAAAAACCGCCATGGTCTTGCCCGACCTCAGACTAGATAAAGAAAGCAAGCCGGGCAACCTACAAACTAGTTGGACCGATTACCTTCTTGAAAGCTACTCCCTTCGTTGAGTTGACATAGGCTCGGGAGTGGGGGGCAATTGATGATGGGTAATTTGGTCCTCCTAATTGCCTTGTGATACGTGGCCTTCAAGTGACACCTCAACGCTGAGTAATCAAATTAGCTCGGCAAGTCATCCTGGAGCACCTTGCCTAAGCCGATCTCCACCTCGGCCAGGCCGAACTGACTGGCTCCCTAACTCACGGCGAGCTATCTCAAAGACCAGTTGAGCTGTAGGAATCCACAACGACTTGCGAGGAGAGCCCGCTGACTTGGAACGATAATGCGATACTAGCCCGAGATCTCTGGGACATTAATTCCTCGACCGTTAGACCGGCCTACCGCATCGCACGGCTCTAAGTTATTCAAGCAAAATGTAACCTCCGCACATATCTTGTAACCGACATATTAATGCACCCAACTAAGCGAAAACGGCTCCGCAAGATGGTGAGACCCATTGTGAAGGACTCTAACCATCGAAACCTGTATAAGGCGCCCACTTCTACCTAGAAAGGTGTGTGCGATCATACAATCTCAAGCTCTCTCACTCTCTCAAGAATTCTAAAAGCATCTTCTAACTTGAGGATCAACTCGGATAAAGACAACCCGGGCACTAACATTTGTCTGGTTTTTAATACAAATTTCAATTTATTATGAAACACATATCAAAATATTTTATTTTTATAATAAAAAATTAATCAAAATGAGAGAGTTCACTCCTTTTTCTTTCAATTCCTTGTCTTCTTGTGCCCTTATTTTCCATGCATGATTTGAAATTTTGAATCGAGAACCGTTCCAAATGACAAATTGTGAAATGAGTCCTAAATGGTGGATTTGACTTGCACATACAAAACAAAACGGAATTTCGGAAATTACATTTCTCAAAAAAACACAAAAAAGAATTTTGGCAATTACATATTTGCACTGAATTGGGAATTCTCCTCACAGAGCGCTCAGGACGATTTTACAACTACATCCCACTGTGTATTGGGAGATGTTCGTGATATGCGGTTGGGACACACCGTAGGTTAGTGTGCCGAGCAGATCTGGACTCATGTGCACTCTGTTTGGGTGATAAACCTGGCCTGACCAGCCCCTTAATCAGGGTTAAGGCAGCCTAAATGGGTATCGAATATTATATCTATATGAATATGATGTTGAAAAGACATGATAGCAGAAAATAATTTAGGATAAATTTTTTAAAAGTTAATTGATTAAGTGTACTTCTACTGTTTGAAAAAATTTTGACAATTTGATTAGTCCTTCTTAGTGATTAATATTCGTCAACTTTGATGTGAAAAGGACTATTTTACCCTCAACTATAAATTACTTGAATCTCTCTCCTCATTTTCTACTGCTGGAACTACCGGAATCGCTGGAACTGCGGGAACAGCGGGTGATGACCGGATCTCAGATCTGAGTACATCTCAAATCCGGGTTCCTTCGAGCCCGTACAACTGCTGTTACTCGGCTTCTAAGTTCGAACCAGTGGATACTGCCCAGGAATCCCTGCCCAACCCTCACCGAGCCCAGTTTGCTTAGGATTGCTGGCTTTGCGCCTCATGCTCAGGTTTTTCTTCAGACCCTGCAACCCATGGCATCATGGCATCGTCGGCAATGGAAAGAGGGAGACGGAGAATAAGGATCTCTGCAACAAAACCTGCAACCCATGGCATCATGGCATCGTCAGCGATGGAAAGAGGGAGACAGAGAGGAGGGATCTCTGCAACAAAACCTACAACCCCTGCAACCCATGGCGTGAACAAACCCTTCCTCTTCTTCTTCTCTTCACCCCTGCAAACCAAACTTCTCTTCACCCGATCGTTGGGGTCGGGTTCAGCTCCGCCACCGTCGTCAGCTTATTACATGCAAAAACTTGTCGATGATTGAGGTGGAGCCAACATCCAATTATGTGTTGGATTGCATCAACGTATCTTTCATTTTCAGCTTCAGCAAGGCATGGCTCCCTTTGGGCTTTGGATTAAAAACTGCTGACATGTCGCATGTGCCACCGTAACAGCAACTAACAACCACTATAACAGCTCCGCCACCGTCGTCTACATCGACACCCTCCGGCACCGGCACCTTTTTGGAAAGATTAGCAGTAGGTTGGAGATTGTTTGAAGGACTTGGGCGGTATCCGCTGTCTCCTCTTTTCTCTTTCTCTGTTCTTGTGTTCTGCTGAGATTACTTCAGAAACGAATCGATCTGCGCCAGACGATTAGTTTAGAAAAGAATCCGATGAAGAAAGAATGCTAATGGAAACACCGAAGCTCTTTCTAGCATATCCGCTCAGGAGCTTTTCTCTGGTTCCCAGTGAAGGGTATTCGGTTGACATCCCCCGCTCTATCTGTTTGTTTCGTTTTTTTCTTTTTTTAGGTAATATAGTTGATTTTTGATGAAGACAATACTCAAATTTGGGTTCCTTAAGGATCGAACCAGTTGGTTTGCTGTTGAAAGGAAGAAGATAGTAAGGGTAAAATTGGGATTAAAAAAATGGATGCAACTGGTAAGGGTAGAACTAGTCTATTGTTAGAAACAATAGGGCAGTGTCACTCAATTTTCAAATAGTAGGGGTACATTTGGTCAATTAGTTAAACCATAAGGATAGTTTAAGAATTTTACCCAAAATTTAATAACTAATCAACTGGCATCAATGCTCAGATGCTAACGCTGGATGACAGTTTGGACGGTGAGATGTTGAGGTCGGTAGGCCGATCTGCAAGACGAACAAAATCAGAATACTCGAGGGTTTGGACCTAGGCTGGGCATTTTGATGCTTAAGTTAACTGAACTGGTTACAACTTACAAGGAAGCATGGATGTTGAGAGAAAGAAAATAATAGAATATGCACTTAATCACGCATATCTTGTGAAGGAATGGAAGAGCTTTATATAGGTTTCAATGTCCAAGAGCTGTCCAAGATATCCAAGAACAATAAGCCTTATCAACCTGTTATCTTTGGGGCATGTTACACCATCGCCCGCGACGATCCTCATCTAGTCTCTTTGAAGCATGCGGGGATTAGGGTCACCTCTGCCAAATGGGCGATGTGTTGCCATCAGTTTCAAAACCAATAGGTATGCTAACCAGATAAGAACTATTTGCCACATAGGTTGGTAAACCAGAGGTTGGCTTGCTATAAGTTATTGGCTGCTTAGGTCAAGGAGGTCAAGCTGGCGTATGAAGTCATCAGCTTGTTCTCCCAAGGTGATGTGCTCCGCTCAGCTGAGGGACAACCGCTATTCTTTCTTAGGTTGGGTTAGTTGGTTTGGGCCAACCTAGCTCCATTCGACTTGTCCCATGTGGCACCAAGGTGTCAGTAAATGGTTTGGATTAGTCACGTGTCCTGTCGTGATTGGTTAGACAAATCACCCCTCATCATTAAAAGTGGTTATGGGTTAGGTTGGTTTTCATCAAAATTCATATGAGTTTTGCTATATTTTTTCAGATGCCTTAAATTTGGTGCAAGTCATAAAAATTAAATCCAAATACCAATTTATACCAATCAAAAATTGCGGGTCCCGTTAAATCCATTCGACAAGTCTTTCGATATCATGTCTTCTAGTCAGTAGCGGATGTACTTGGCTTGGCCCTCGGTAGTCTGATTCTATTTATATCGTTAGTATTATTTGCTTATAAACTTGAGATGGGATTTACTCCTTAGAGCATGTGCCTCACACCAACTTCACAGTGCATCATAGGAGAACATTTTCCATATATGATGTTATCATCCATATGAGATATTTCCAATGTACGACTGTGATGCACTATGAGGATGGGTGAGGTGCGCTCTATAGGAATAGATCCAAATTCATATAACTTGAGTCGGTAACTTTTAGAATTGGATTTGGGTTGAGTACTAAATAGTTTCTTCTACCAAGCTTGTATCGAACACAGAACATTTTTCATGATTGGATCAACCCCAGCCCTAGTGCTTAATCAAAATAGGAATGGCAATGCTAATGTCACATAGGTCCATGATTCAGTTAATTAAACCGTGGGCTATTTTTTTTTGAATAGAACTACTGCCACTGATGTTTAAAAAATTATGAACCAAAATCAATCAATTAATCGGTTGATTAATATGGTTTTTTGATTTTTGATTTTTTATGTTTACAATATGTATTATAAATAATCATATAAATATATAATATAAATACTCTACTTCACCTTTCTTTTGGTTTAAAAAAAATACAAATACAAATATATACAAAATAATGCAAAATATAAGATTTTACACTCTACCTATTTATATTTTATACTCCTTCCAAATAGAGACTTAATGCTTAATCAAGAGGGAAAGCCCGAGAGTGCTTGATCCTAACGTGCGCCGTGCGCGTCTGGGCAGCGTCTTCCTTATCCAGAAACGTCACTAGCTTTGTGGACCCCGAAAATATCCCAAATTTCCAAGCTCTCACTTCAATTAATGAAGGAGCTGAATTTTGTTTGATTATTTAAATATTTAATTTTTATATTTCTCACTTTTCCAGTTTATCCTCTATTTTTTTTTTTATTTTAATAATTTTTCTCCCACAAAGACAATGCCGGCGGTCATAAGCTGACCATCCAACGGTCTACGGTTATAACTCGTATGCCAGTCATCTCAATAAACGTGAATTGAGATCTGCTACTTACAAACCGCTTCTGACACCGACCTCACAGTCACATTTCACCCTGCGTAAGTGAATTGAATCAGTCGCACGCGGGACCATCTGCGTGAACTCGAAAGGCGAATCGGCGAAAAGGAGGACCTTGATTCAATTCATACTTTTCTTACTCTTCCGGTCAGTGTGGTTGTGCCCCGTCGCCGGCCGGAACATTGTCCAATTTTCGGTGGAAAACGGTGAGATCTTTGAATCTTAGATACGATTACAGGGCGAATTGATTTGTTCTTCAGTGAGTTTTATATATTTTAGTTGTAATTCGAGTGGTTTAATTGTCAATGATATAAATGACATGCAGACGTCCGTAGGTGTTGGTTTTGGAGATAGAATCGTTGGTTACAACTTTGAAGGACTTATGGGTATTTGTTTTCCGGGTTTGAGAAATCAGAAATCTTTGAGGTCTTTTTCTTTGGCATTTGTTGACCGTGGTGTGAAATTTGCTCCGTTTGGTTGTGGTTTTGGAGATTGTTCTGACGCGTCTTTTTGCTAGACAAGAAAGTCGACGGAATTCTGGGTTTTCTTCGTCTTGAGGAATCTGACACGTCGAAGTCGTGAGGTTTGACTGGTTTTTTGTTGTTTAATGACATGAAGCGATTGGGAAGTGTGATAGGTAGCGCGTGTTAACTGTTAAGTGCCTTGATTACTTGATAATACATGATGGTTCTCCTTTCTGAAGGGTATAATTTGAAGTTTGATGTGGAAACTAATGTGTTTGGTACATCTGATTGATGGTAATTGTATGGGAACTGAGAAATTGAGTGTTGGAAACGGGTTTTGGTGAAAGATATTTGGGATTCAAGCTGGTTATGTTTGTATCTGATACGAGTCCTGTTTGATGAAAGAACGGTTACTGGGTTTTGGTAGTCGAAATCGAGGATGGCTATAACGGATGTCTCAATCATACACCATGTTGCCATTGTGCTCACTTTGCTTTGGACCTTATCTTCTTTTAACATCTGCCACCCTGCGGTTTACTTCATATCTTTAATCTATCTCTATGAGGTATGACTTTATGCCTATCAACATCTGAAAATCTAATTTTAATTAAAGATGCAAATGGCACATATTCTTTTGTATTAATGTTAATTTTCTATCAATGCATTATTTCTTCTTATAGTTTGTTTCTATCAACTGTGTGCTCTAGGATATGGTGTTCTAGATCAAGTCGATTAAGGTAATACTGTCTTGCATGTTGGGTCTTATTTCTTTATCACCCTGAATTTTGCTTTCACCTTTATGGAAGGTTCATGAACATTATAGCATGAGGTTGCGAAAGAAGTTGCAGTTTGAGGAAAGAAAACAAGCAAATCAGAGAAGGGTAATTTCCTGCCTGGTAGTATGGTTCTGCTGTATCTGTTCTTAACGATTCTTATTTCCATTATATTCATAGTTTGTTTTGTTTCCTTGCCAAAACTCGGCCGCTGAAGTTATGAAGACCTCAGGATTATGTTAAATATTTTACTTTAATGCATTTCCTGTTCTTTTCAGGTACTTTCTGATTCAGAGACAGTGCGGTGGTTAAACCATGCAATAGAGAAGATTTGGCCTATATGCATGGAACACATTGTATCACAGAAGTTTCTTCTTCCAATAATTCCTTGGTTTTTAGAGAAGTACAAACCATGGACTGCTGTATGTTTCCACCTTTTTGATTAGTTTCTACCCCTGAAATCACAAAAAATGCACATCATTTCTGTGCCAACATAATTCTAATGACTAGGAGATATTGTTAGTCTGGAAAACTTGATTAGAATATTGTTACTGCTGAACATCTTAATCATAACCAACACAGTTAGGTCTGCATTTCCTGTTGCAACTGCCTTTATCTGTTAGTTCATAGTCTTGATTAATTTCTCCTTGCCCTGCGGGTTGTGGGCCTTGTGGCATTACCTCTCATTGTTAGAGATCTCTGCTTTAAATCTAAGGTGATGTTGCCCTTCTGCATCCTCTGTATTCACACATGGATGGTACCTCAACCTATTCTAGAGCAGCATTGTTTAGCTGGGCAGTCTCCTACATGGGCTCCTGCATGCTTCMTTTATGTTGCCTAAAAGGGTCTTAGATAGTTGAATCAATATTTTATATTTAGTAGTGTCAATATAAACTTTGGATGGTATTTGTATGTGTGCATGTATGTATTCTTGCATGTAATTATGCACAGATGAATATATTTCATTTATTCTTTGGAGAAATGATCTAGTTTCTTGATTTTGCATGTGCAGAAGAAAGCAGTTATTCAGCACCTATATATGGGAAGGACGGCTCCAATGTTTACAGACATAAGGGTCCTTCGTCATTCAACTGATGATGACCACCTGGTATACATCCCTTAGCCATTCAACTGGAACCATAGACTATACATATTGAATGCACTTTTTGGTTAAAGTTTATCTAGTTTTATTTCCCTCAAGAAAAGGTTACAATCAATTCAATACAGGTTCTGGAGTTGGGATTGAATTTTCTTTCAGCAGATGACATGAGTGCAATAATTGCTGTAAAGCTAAGAAACAGACTAGGATTTGGCATGTGGACAAAATTGCACATGACAAGCATGCATGTTGAAGGGAAGGTGTGCAATTTAGTATGGTATCTTTTTGTTTCTTTGGTCAATATATGACATTCTTTTGTTAACGTACATTAACTTAAAGTTTTGTATCTTTTCATTTCTATCAAATCACACTGGAGATTGGAGTATATAGGTATAAGATGTAGAAATCTTTCAATAGAAAAAGGAATAAAAAAAAAGAAAACTAGTTGGAAATTGCTTTGATATTTTCTGGTTAAAACCTCTTGGAAATGTACTTAGTGACACTGCATGGACAGTGAAGGATGGACATAGTAGACCTCTAACCCATTCCTCTGCCTCCAACAAAAGAGGTTTATCTAATCCTTAGAGAAGGTATATTACCTTCTATTGTATAATTTAAAGTTGATCTTAATATTTGGTATTGGATAACTTGTTGGAGAACCTACTTGCTTCCATGGTTCATTATAAGATCTAGTGTCTACTAACTAGATTCAGAATATCCTTGATACTTGAATCATATTCTTAATGTTGAACCTTTTTACCAAAAGGGGGATATGGTTGTAAATATGGCGAAACCCAGTAGGTCCAAGTATCCATATTATTTACATTTTATTCCTACTTTTCCCCTTTCTCGTATCATAGATAAAAAATTTGAGGGGAACCCGGATTCCAGAATCTTGGAATATTATTACCAAAGTATATTAAACCTTTCAAAAATTTTAATTTTGATTTATATTCTTGTTGAAAGCCTTTTGAGTTTTCTCAAATTCTGTCAACATTTTGGGTAATTACTGAAAGGGAAGAAAGTATATTAGTGCTTCAAAACACATTAACAAGTCTTTTAAGTTTTCTCAAATTCTGGCAACATTATGGGAAATTACTGATGGGGAAGGAAGTATATTAGTCCTTCAAAACACATTAAATGTAGGTTATTTATATTTTCTTTTATATTTTTTTTCCAAAATCAAGAATCAACTACTTTTTTCTGGTTCTTTTGCAATCAAATCCAAGGATCTGAGGAGAAAATGATGCTTTGAGTCTCCTCAAGGGTGTCAAAGTGACACTGACACATAGCATCTATGTTCACTGAAACGACCTATGGACATTCTTGTGAGGTGGAAGAAGGGCTCTTAGTTCTAGAAGAATGCAAACTAATGCTGATGCCTACTTTCTGTAGATGATCACACATCATGTTGATATGGTTCTTAGCAACATGCGTCCAGGTTTTGGAGTACCTTGTGGAGAAAAGATATTGACTTGATCTCTTATGCACCCTTTGTTAAATGGCTGCAGCAGGGGTGCAACTTGGGTGTAGCATTTCCTGCTTAAACTTGAAGTGCTTGCCACAATTGTTGTTCCCTTCTTGAAGAGTCCTGCTAACATGGCTTAACTTGAATCTGTGTCTGATGTGTTTATTGATTTTATGAAGAAAAAGTAAGAAGATGAGAAAAGAAGAAGAAGAGGAAGAAATGTGTGGGCTGCTAGCCCTTACATTAGTATTAACACTGAATTGTACAATTACACAATTTCTCTCATAGAACATAATATATTATAAACGAACCTCCCAAAGTCCACACTAACGTAACAACTTGCACCTCCTCTGTAACTGCTTAGCATGCTTACACTAACATTGGAAAGATAGGCTGGTTGCCACCCTTCCTGATATGATCATACTGATAATGGTTGAAGTTTTAACTATTATGATTCAATTGGCTAAAACAGTTCTTCTCTACTGTCATTTATATAATGTGACTATGATACCTGGATATCTATACAAGGGTGCCATATCATGCCAGATGTTTTTAACTATAAGTTCTTGTTTTATACTGTCTCCAGCAATGTCCTTTCCATATCTAGGTAACATAGGTTTGTGAAACTAACAGGAAACTAGCTTAGATTTGAATTGATTAATTAATATGGGAGGAAAGGAGGGGTTGATTCCTCTTTGGGGAATGAAAACTCCATGCATAAGTAATCTACCTTAATAAAAAGAAACATAAAAATACAAAATAACTTGTAGTACCAATGCAAGCCATTTGCATAGCCTAATAGGAGTTTTATCCTTCAAACATGGGCCTCATGTAGAAAGATTTATTCATGAATCTTGGCAAGTATCGGATATGTCCAGGAAAGGAAAAGTTGGCTGGGAAGCTGTCCCAGCAGCGAGTACATGGGCTTTATGGATTGAGAGGAATAGAAGAATCTTTGAACAGAAGTCAATTTATGAGGCAGGGGTGATCAATATGGCAGTAGAAGTTTTGAAGAATTGGCTTTTTGTACACAATGTATTTGAAGGGACAAAATAGACATTGTCCCATTGTACAGAGGACCACACTTTGATATTAATACAATATATTATACTTTACCTTTTTCAAAAATAAAAGATTTATTCATGAATCAGAAGCACCATCTATCTAGGACTGGGAGCAAAATGGACATTAATTGAACCCATGGAATGAAGCAAATGGACATTAATTTTTGTTTTTGCACAATGTGGATGATCTCAGACTTGACTTTACTATTGAAATAAGCTGTGTCACCAATCTTCAAGTATAGACTTCATAAAGTTCTATTCTGTGCTGGTTCTTTTTGGGAAAGAAAACATATTCTTACTGTTAAGGAGAGAACAATTGTAAAAGAGTATATATAAAAGCAGGTAAAACATTATATCTTCTACCTTTAGCATATTCACAATACATTTGTCTCCCATATGTAGGTTTTGATTGGTGTGAAGTTCCTCCGTGAATGGCCTTTCCTTGGGCGTCTTCGGTTATGCTTTGTTGAGCCACCATACTTCCAGATGACAGTAAAACCCATCTTCAATCATGGAGTTGATGTTGCAGAACTTCCAGGAATTGCAGGATGGTTGGTAAGTTCTCATTTTTGTGCATGATTGAAGACAAGGGTCCACCTTTTATGTTTTTAAGAGGAATCTGACCATTTTTCTTAATGCTTATTCTAAGCAGGATAAGCTTCTAGCTATTGCATTCCAACAGACACTTGTGGAGGTTAGTACTTCTTTAACTACTGATCCTTGAACAAAGCTGATTTCACCTATACATATTGAAGTGTCTTTAAAATCCTCAATAATGAGAAGCTTAAATCAACAACAAAATAACCTTTTCCACTTGCCCCATAGAATATTTCTTAATTCAGAAGTCGTAGAATTGCCGACTGGCAACCTTCTATTAGGAACTCATTCTTAATGTAAATTCTTTGCACTGCAGCCCAACATGTTGGTCGTTGATGTGGAAAAGTTTGTCTCAGCACCAACAGGTAACTATGATGAAGAACTTGTCAATCAGGCATTACACTTAACAGCTACAAGTGTATTGGTTAGTAACTTGAAGAGCAAAACTGGCATTTTAAGTACATCAGCACTTTGTTCTCAAAATTTGTAGGTGAGGCCAGGGGATGCACTGGCTGTTTTCTGGTGGCATGGGTACCCATTGATCTGGGTACTACTAAATTTTATAGAAAGTGTTCATTTGGTCTCTTACACGTGTTTTAATGTTAAATTTTGTCGGCTACAAAAGCTTCTCCATCTTGGTGATTTCAACACACCTAATATGATACATCTTTTCTTAATAAAAATAAAAGTCTGAGTTTACTCACCTTTCCCCCATGAACAGAACCAATACAAAAATAATGAAAGAAATTGTTTCTTGGCTTCAATTGTTCATCATGTATGCCAGAAATTCCACCCATGGTAATAGGCTTTCCGTAGATCCAAGTTGCACATAATGCCCACCTGCCTTTTCTAATAAGAAAATTTAGGCACTCACCTGCTATAATAAGATCTGTCTACTCTTAACAAAAGCACCTTGATGAGGATGCACGACTTTGCTAACCAGTATCTATGTCTTCTTGGGAACAAGATAAAAGAAGCATTAGATGTAAGGTTTCATATCTTCCAAAGTTTGACCCGCTCCCCATTTTTTATTTTGAATTTCAACCTTTTGCAAACAATTTGTAGGCCTTCTCAATTCCTTTCCAAATTGAACACCCATAGGACTGATTGAAGCTCCTGGATCCCATGCAAAATTCCTATCTCCATATTTGGCCTGTACCACTCCTCTCCACAGCCCTCCTTGACTCTCCCCAAATCTCCAAAACCACTTCCCTAACAAGGCAATATGTTGGGAACCAAGGTCCAGACCTCCATGAATTCTTGCCATGAGATTTGGGGTCGGGGGCGCCGGAACCATTGAAACCACAGAATCGCCTCCCCTTCCAGATGAAAAGAGGCGATGGTCACGCGCTGGAGTCCCTGTACATCATGATACTCAAAATACTTCTCGGCCTTGAAGATCCAAGGAATCAGATCTCCCCCATAGAACGTTGGGAAATCCAGTTTGGTGATTTTTCTTGGAATGAAATTCCCCCTCCTGCTGCTGCCCTAGCTGGATTCTTCATTGTCACTTTCTCAGCCAGCGGCAGGAGAAGCTTTCTCCTTCTGAGATGTAATCACTGACATAGCTTCCTTGATCTCCTTAAGTCCCGTGACCACCTGGTGGAGATCGACTTCGATCTTGTCCACCCTCTCGTCCAGCATCGCCGATCTGGTGTTGGTCATCTTCGATCGTTCAATTTAGTCGATGCAGCTCTAATACCAATTGATGAGTTGCTGCTCACCTCAGGAGTCTCTTCGAGGGAGACCCTTCCTCCTAAGCTGAAATGAAGAGAAAAGAGAGAGAGAGAGAGTTCAATCTTTGCATGCTCACTCATTCGACCAACCCATACTTGCAATGATTTCGGTTACAAAATATCTCAACCAACTCTGAGCTCTAACAACAAACTCTGAGCTCTAACGAATTCATGCAGAGGGACCAGCTGACGTGTTGCTTACTGCAGTTGGGTGCTGAAACTGCTGGCGTGCCTTCTTCCTCAGGTAGGTGTGAGTAAGTGGAGGTCTGGGCCTTGGTTTCCAATAGTGGTATCTGTAGGGCCACACGGAGGCACTGTGTATAAGATTTGGTCCTACTGGGTACGACGACTATGATGAGATGCTATCCCGAGTAAAACAGACGGGAACGGTGTGAGACTACCAAGCCGAGTTTGAACGGCTAGCCACCAGAGTATATGGGTGTCCAGAGAAGGCGTTGATCGGCTGCTTTGTTGGAGGACTGAGGGACAACATCAAAGTTGAGGTAAAGGCTTTTCAACCCACTTCTCTGTCTGCTGTGGCAGGATTGGCAAGGTTGCAAGAGGAGCGACTCGACCGACTGAGGAAGGTGACGACTCGACCATCCGAGCCCCTGTTAAAACCCCATCCTGACAAGATGGGCTTCTCCCTCGGCCCATGACAGGACCCAGCCGAACTGTGGGGGAAACTACTCGGCCCGCCCAAGGACCCACACCGCCAAATAGGAGCCCAGTCCCCTTCAAACGCCTCTCCTGGGCCGAAATGCAGGCCCGGCATGAGAAGGGCCTGTGCTACAATTGTGATGAGAAGTTTGGGCCTGGCCACCAATGCAAAACCCAGCGAATGTTCTTGCTGCAATGGGAGGAGACTGGGCAGGAAGGTGAGGAGGAAGAACTAGCTGAGGAGGAAAGGGAACCGGACTGGACTCAATACGACAACCCAGAGATCTCTCTGCAAGCTTTAATAGGGCTGACATCCCCCAAATCTGAGGGTTGAAGGGAAACTTAGAGGCCGCTGGGTATCCGTACTCATAGATAGCGGAAGCACACTGAATTTCATCACACAAGTATTGGATCGCCAACTAGGTATGACAGTTCTCTACACCTCTCCATTTGCTGTTAGAGTGGCGGATGGTAACCACATTGAATGTGAAAGTATTTGCAAACATGCAAAGCTGGTAATCCAAGACCACACTTTCATCATGAACTTGCACCCATTGGATTTCAGCGGGGCCGATGTAGTGTTGGGTGTTCAATGGCTGAGCCAACTAGGCCCAGTCCTTTGTGATTGGGGACACATGACCATGGACTTCTATTGCGATGGGCTCCGCTGCCATCTGCAAGGTCAGGAGGTACCCAGCCCAATAGTGGAAGGTCTACACTCCATGATTAAAGGGGGGTTTGGAAAAGAACACCTGCTGCTGATGTAGATGGGCCAGTGCCTATTGGGCCTTTACTAAAGCTAGAAAATGAGGTCCAATTATCTGAGAAGGACCAAGATGACATACAAAAGGTGCTAGGCCAATTTCCAGAAGTCTTTAGAGACCCAGACCAGCTTCCCCCAAATCGGTTCCAAGATCATCATATGCCTCTAATTCCAGGGGCAGCCCCTACTAACGTGCGGCCCTACAGATACCGCATTTCCAAAAAACTGAGATTGAGAGGCTCGTGAAAGAGCTCCTGCACAAGGGATGGATACAGCCTAGTACTAGCCCATTTTCATCCCCAGTAGTCCTTGTAAAAAAGAAAGATGGGTCCTGGCGTTTTTGTGTAGATTACCGGGCCCTGAACCATATCACAGTCAAGGATAAGTTCCCAATCCCGGTTGTGGATGAACTATTAGATGAGCTGGGGCAAGCCAAGTATTTTTCCAAAATGGACCTCCAATCCGGCTATCACCAAGTCCGGGTCCACTCTGAAGATGTATACAAGACAGCCTTCAGAACCCATGATGGACACTATGAGTTCCTAGTTATGCCGTTTGGGCTGTCCAACGCCCCTTCTACCTTTCAGGCCATCATGAATGATATCTTCAGGCCCTACCTTTGGCGTTTCATTTTGGTCTTCTTTGATGACATTCTGGTATACAGCAAGGATTGGAATTCACACCTCCAACACTTGGAACAGACATTGAGCTTGCTGAAACAACATCAACTATTTGCCAAGCTTTCAAAATGTGTTTTTGGGCAGGCTGAAGTCCATTATTTGGGCCATGTGGTTGTAGCTGGACGGGTCATGGCTGACCCAGAAAAAATAAATTGTATACAAGACTGGCCCACGCCCAAAACAGTCAAAGCCCTATGCAGGTTTTTGAGCCTTACTGGCTACTACCGGAGATTTATATGCAACTATGGGTCACTAGCAGCCCCATTAACTGGGCTTCTCAAAAAAAACTGCTTCGTTTGGACGGAGCAGGCCCAGAAGGCTTTTGATTCTCTAAAGCAGGCCATGATCAGCCCACCAGTCCTAGCCTTACCAAATTTCGAAGAGACCTTCGTGGTTGGATGTGATGCATCAGGTGTGGGAGTTGGAGCAGTGCTCATGCAAAATGGAAGGCCCATATCTTATTTCAGCAAGGCCCCCTCTCCACTAGGGCCCAGAATCAGTCAACATATACAAAGGAGCTTATGGCAATAGTACTGGCAGTCCATAAATGGCGACCATACTTGTTGGGTTGAAGGTTCACAATCTGGATGGATCAGAGAAGCTTGAAGTATATACTGGACCAAAAGGCTCTCACCCCAGATCAGCAAAAATGGATGATGAAACTAATGGGCTTTGATTTCTTAATCGAATACAAGCCTGGAATCACCAGCAGAGCTGCGGATGCATTGTCTCAGAAGGCTGATTTGTCACTATTAGTACACTCTCAGCCCCATTACCCTCTATTTGAAGCTCTACGAGAGGAGGCCAGAAATGACCCTAGCCTCTAAAAGGTGCGGCAAAGCTATCTGCAAGACCCCACCTCTACACCAGGGTACACCATGAAGGGACCAGACTTGTTTTTTAAAGGGAGATTTGTCCTCTCTCCTACTTCAGTGCATCAGAAAACCTTGCTAGAGCTCTATCATGATTCGGTGCTGGGTGGACATTCTGGTGTTTTCCGGACCTATAATAGGTTATCTTCACATTTTTATTGGCCCAACATGAGGAAGGCAGTCGAGCAGCACGTAGCACAGTGTACCGTATGCCAGCAATAGAAGTACTCGGCCCAATGATAGCTGCCACTCCCGGCCCCCTTGAGATTTGGCTTTACGTCTTGTTCCTGTTTACTAAGTGGTACTTCTCATCTTCCCAGCCTCTCCAAAGGAAACCCCTCAACTTATTAGAAACAAAGATAAAAGATACATGGGAAGGGAGGATAATACACTTTTCACCAGGGTAATTTTGCCTCAATAAGAAAGATATTTGGCTTTCCAGGAGACCAGTTTCTTTTCAATTCTTTCTACAATTGGCTTCTCTAGAAGTAAATAGTTGAAACAAGAAGGTGAAACAATAGAGAAGGAGAAAGAATATTTGCTGGAAAAAGTACCAGTGGCGTTTCACTCACAAAGAAATGAGAAAATTGCAAAAGTACCCTTGGTTACAACTTCACAAGGAAAAGATAATAATAACAGTCTAATAAGAGCCTA